GCAAATAGATAATCATGAATTTAAAAAAATGTTTTTTTTTTTTTTTAAACTATATTTTATCTTATTTTTAAGAACTTAAAATAGATAATGACTAAAGTTGTACGTATGGCTTGTTGTATATTTTTCATGTAATTACAAATAGTAGGGATTATTAATGTATAATCCTGTTGACAATTCTAATAAAAATTCCTTCAGCAATATAAGCTGCCTTAACAACAAAAAAAAATAAAATAAAATAAAGTAACAAACAAAATTATCTAAGTTTAAAAAAAATAATAATTTTACTATAATATTAAAATTATGAAATATTACAAAAGATTGACAATTTTAAGCAAATGCAGAAGTTTTAGCAAAAATATTATCTTCTGCAAAAAATACTATTAAAATAGTTGAATTTAAAGCTATAACTACTACTAATATTTTTTTATTTCTTATTTAAGAGTAGAGAATACAATTTGTAAATTATATATAAAACTTATAGTAAAATTTTTTTAATTAAAAATAAAAAATATTTTATTAAGTAAACAGCTATTAAAAATTAATTAAAAATTGTTGAATAGATTTTTTTAATTCTAATAGTAATAAATTTATTAAATTTGAATAGATATTTATCAAGATACATGTTTTTGAAAATTAGATATCATAAATTGTTTATATAAATTATATGAAGATCAGATGATTTGAACTAATTAAAATTAATTATTTTGTGTAACTAAAGAGAATTTTATATACTATAGAGAATTTTGTGATATATACAAGTATATTTTTTTAAAATATTTTATCTTTTAAAAATTTACTATTATAAAAAATATATCTTATTCTATATTATATAAAAATTTTATAAAAATTAATTGCAATAGTAAAAAGTTTTATTAGTAATATAGGTTTATTTTTTGTCAAAATTATATTGTACTATAAAGATTATATAAAAAATGATTTACATATCCTCTACCCTTAAATAGTAACTGCTATTAATATACTTAAAAAAAATAATTTATCAGAATATATTAAATTTTGTAAACAGTGTATTTAATTTTATAACAAATAATAGTTTAAGTTTGATATAAAAATATAACTTTTAGCATATTTTCTTCATCTAAAATATCAAGAAAAAGGGATAAAAAACTTAGTATTTCATCAGTTCTATATATAGCTATCAAAATCTAGAAAAAAATTAGAGGAGGATTAGTAAGTACAAATATATTAATAGTACAAATTAAAATATATAATTTATTTAAGTCACTATATAATTTTACTTTTACAGAAGAAATCAAATCTTCATAAACCTTGTAGTATAGATATAAACTATAGAATCATTATTTACAAAAACTTGTTTTATATTTATTAGTAATTATATCTCATAGTACAAGTTGTGAGCAGATCTTTTTAGTTCTAAGCTGGATTACTTAAAATAGACAAAACAGATAATTAAATTAACTTGATATTATAATATTTCTTAAATTTATACAAGATAATCTAATTCTAGTTAGATTTCTAATTAGAGATCAATTGCAAGCTTAGCTAATCAGATAGTATCTGCTAAATTATTTTGTATATTAAAATACTTTTACAAATTTATTATATTGAAAGTATAAAACTAAAAGCTGTAAGTACTGCTAAAGTTTAAAGTATAACTGAAAGTCTGTACATAATCAAAAATATTACTAAAAAGTTAAGATATTTCAAAAATAAAATATATTACTAAAAGTTAAAAGGTGAAAGTCAAAGCACAATAAAGTTTAAAAGTATTACAAGATTGAACATATCTACTGAAAACATTGTTAGTAAATTTTTTATAGTAATAATAATTGTTTAGCAAATATATAATAATAATCTTTTTTCTATTTTTAGTAGTACTTATGCACTTTCAATTTTTAGTCATACTTTTGACTTTTGAATATTTTAGAAACTAAATCCTGTTCAAGACTCTAGAATTACCAACCTAAAAAATTTCATTATTGGTATATTATTGTTTTAATTTTATATTACATCTAATCTTGAAATTTAATTTGACCAAATAGTAAAATATTTTAGGCTAGTAACACTAGAACAGTTGAAATGCTTTTAGTTTTAGTAAATCTGAAAGTATATACTTTTAGCAGACATCTTTAGTTTTGATCAGAATTTTGAAAATCCTATAAAATTTTATTTACAATATTTAATTTATATTTTTTATAGATTAACTGTAGAAAAAGTATCTAATATTGTAAAACTATATACTTATTATGTAAATAATGCTAGAAATAAACTTAACTATATTAGTTATAATATTTCTAAATCAGAATTTGAGCAAGTTATAGAAAACTATACAAATACAATTGACTATAGTAATAATATATTTAATGAAGATGAATATGATAAAGAATTTGATACTGATTTTGTTTCAAATGATGATAATTTAGTTGATCTTATACAATTTGATAATGAAAGTTTGGAGACTAAAAAAATATTAGATTTTAATACCTTTTTAGATGAACAACTAATGAAAATAATGATCTTAATTATATAGAAACTGAAGATGATTATGATTATGATATTGAGGAAGTTATCAACATATCTATGAATAAGATAAGTTAATAATTTATTTTTTTAGTTATGTTAATCAATTAATATGAACTAATAGTCTTTAGTCCATTCAAGGGTCAAGTTGATCTAGTCTTTTTAGAATGAATCGAAAGACTATCGATTCTAATATTAAATTTTTAATTCAAATTATATGTAAATGCTTTTTTTTTTTCCTGTTAGCAGGTTTTTTTTTACACACGAACTTCAAGTATGTATAGATTTATTTAATTAGCTTTGTTTATACTGTTTATAATCTTTAAAGATATTGGTTGGGGGTTTTTTTATTTATTTATATAATAAAAATATTAACATTATGATATTTTATTAGGTTTATAATTTTAAAGTTTTATAATTTTATTGTAACAGTAACTATCAAAAAGCACAAAACGAGTTCAAGATACTTAGCATTAGAATTCTAATTTTGTATTTGGTTAGTTGGTTTTATTCAATCCATATACTACTGTACTAGTCTAAATATTTCGGCATCCTAAAATATTTTGGCATCATAAAATATTTTTGTCATCCTAAAATATTTCGGCATCTAAAAATATTTTGGCATCCTAAAATATTTCGGCATCCTAAAATATTTTGGCATCTTAAAATATTTCGGCATCCCAATTTTTTTTCGACATACTAAATTATTTGCAGTTTAGACTGCCAAAAATATTTTCGGCTATTTAAATTTACGGCATGAGCCAAATAATTTCGGCACCCATCTATATATTCATGTGACTATTTCTATCGTGACAATGGGTTCCTCTATTGATATGGGAAACAACTAAGAAAAATTGTTTCTTACTACTTTCAATGATTTGTTACGCAGCACCATTCTAATAGAAGATAATAAGAAGTGCACTAATATTTATGTCGCAAATCGGCGCTAGCCCTACCTCGATTATTGATTAATTATTTGATTAATTAGAGTAAATTTATTTCTTACCCAGGGTGATGTGTAACAAAACAGAGAATTTTCGCTAATATCTCAGTATTTTGACTATAAAACCACCTTTCGGGCTCTAAGAAAAAAACTTCCTTGCTAAATTTTACATGTAGGAATCTAATCCTAAAAATTGTTTTTTTTCGAATTCACCTGGTTGATGTATAAATTATCTCCAATTTTATTTTATGATATCAACTTTTATAATCAAATTAAATTTTAGCATGAATAGTATATTAGAGAAAAGATTTTTTTTTTTTTTTTATATATATATATAAATTTGAACATTTCCGAGTTTTGATATACAGTAAATACCTTACTAGAACAAACCAATCTTCATAAAAAGAGATTAAGGATTGTAACTTCTTTACAGATTTGCAAAGAAAATTTTAAATAACATAAGTTTTACTTATTTGTTAATTATAATAATAAATGACCCTAAATAAATACAACCAGTATTGTTTTATTTAAAATTATAGATATATAGATATAGATAGATAAATTTATGAAAAGATAAAAATTTTTTTACAAAAACAAAATAACTAATTTAAAGTTCTTAAAAATAAGATAAAATATAGTTTAAAAAAAAAAAAAAACATTTTTTTAAATTCATGATTATCTATTTGC